TCAGGCCACCCACCCTTAGGGCAGTCAGCACTCGCACCCAGGGCAGGCAGCCTTAATCCTAGCATCGCACCACGCATCAATCCCAGATCACATTCTGGATCCCAGCCTTACACACCCTGGGTCTAGCCACCTTCTAGAAGCCCCACCTATGACTGCGTGAGGCTTTGGGGGGCCTCGAGGTACAAGCCATAACACATGGGAGCTTGCTGCATTATTTTCACAATCCTTCTCTAAGTGTAACATTATTTCAAAATATTGTTTTTAAATTACACAGATTCTGATACTGTTCATGTGGATGGAAGCCTCAGGTTCTGCTTTTCTAACAAGTTCCCAGCAGAGGCGAAACCCCGCGTGAGCATCAGTGATTCTCAGACGCAGTGATGCATCAGAATGACCTTGTCTCAGTTACTCTTCTCTCGCTGCTAGGACAAAATACCTGACATTCAAAATTAGGGAAGGAAAAGTTTATTTAGCTCATAATTTGTGGAGGTTTCAGTCCATTCTCAGCTGGCTCTAAGGCAGACTTGGCACATGGCAGAAGGAGGCAGTTTACAGTGGTGGAAAATAGCAAAACAGCAAGAACAAATGGGAGGAGTAGTGGACGAAGGCTACAGAGAGCAAGTCTGTCTCCCTTACGTTGTGTTCAGGCTACACCCCAGGCTGGTGCAGCACTCACACCCATAATCCCAGCAGCACTCACATCCATAATCCTAGTGGATCATGAGTTAATCACAAATTCTAGAAGTCCACCCCATGACCGCATGAGGCTTTGGGGGGACAACTAGACACAAACCATAACATGGAGGCTTCAGTTCATGCTCAGCTGGCTCCAAGGCAGAGTGGTACATGGCACAGAGCAGCTGTTCACGGCTGTGGCAAAGAGCAAAGGAGGGGCAGCAGCTCCCTCAGCTAGCGAGGCTCTTTCCGATTATACAGATTACCCGACCCAGAGCCCACGTGTAGTACTCACACCTGAAGTCCCAGCATTGGATCAAGAATCAGCCACAACCTCCAGAAGCTACCCCATGACTGCATGAGGCTTTGGGGGGACAGCTAGACAGAAACCATAACAGACCTACAGAAGTTTTAAAAACAGATTTTTTGGCCTTATTCCCAGTGTTTCTGATTCACTAGGTCTGAAGTGGGGCCCCAAAATTCCCATTTTAACAACCTCCCTGGTGTCGTTGATGTTAATGATGGGATAAGTATGGTTCTTATATTTTAAAAGGCTATCAGGGACTTGCTCAGTTGTTTTAAAGTGATTGCTTGGGTAAACTCAGGGGCAGAGGATCGTGGTCTGATCCCTAGCTCCACATACACCAGACCCGCCCTTAAGGCAGCCTGAGCCAGCCCAAAAGGCAGCCCCCCCCACAACAAAAGCCTTCTCTACTTTTTAGAGCTGGGGATTTAGCTCAGTGGCACAGCACCCGCCTAGCAAGCATGAGGTCCCGAGTTCAATTCCCAGTACCCCGCCCTGCCAAAAAAAGGACATAATTTAAAGGCCAGCCAAATAGCTCAGTGGATTAAAGTACCTGCTTAGGCAGAGCACAGAGGCCAGGGTTTGATCCCCAGCGTGCTGTGCTGGCCTCGCCCCTGGGGTGCACTGAGATGGTGATTGAGACTGGGCATGGTCGTGCACGCCTATGATCCCAGCTCTTGAGAGGCTGAAGACAGGTAGATCACTATGAGTCCAACCTACATAGTGAGACCCTGTAGATCCTGTACTAAAATTTTAAAATAGTAATATAAAAATATTACAAACATAGGAATATGAAACAGAGCTTGGGTCTGGCCTTAAAGACTAAAGTATTTAAAATAAATGGTTAAACCCTGGATCCTTGCTACTCAGATTGAAACTTTTTAAAAAAAGTTTGTATTAGTCCATGTTTGTAGTACATAATGAAAAAAATGTAGTGCATAATGATTAGATTCCTTGTGGGAAGGTGGTACACGTCCATGGCACATCTTAGGTCTTCCTAGTTCTACTACTGCTACCTTCCCATTTCTTCTACCTTTGGTTCTCTTCCCATTTGCAAAAATCTGGTAGAATGAACTTCAAATGACTGTAATAATTTTAAGAACTGGATTTGTGTTTTGTGTCTTTCTCATACCTTTTTTTTTTTTTTTTTTAAAGCTCCTGTTATGTATTCCAGACTGACCTTGAACTTACTCTGCAACCCAGGCTAGCCTTGAACTCGTGGCAATCCTCCCGCCTCAGTCTCCTGCCTGCCCAGGATGCAGTTGTTCAGCAGTATCCAGCCCTTTGGGGTAAAATGGAATTTCAGTGTTGTTTTAATTTGAATTTCTTTAGTGGCTGTTGAACATTTTTTCATGTATTCATACTTTGCCATTTGTACTTCTGAGAAGTGTCTGTTCATTTCACCTGGCTATTTTTTGACTAGATGTTTTATTTTGGGGGGAGTTCTAACTTTTTTATATCCGCATCTGCATATGTGAATGATTTGGGTAGATTTCCAATATCAAAACACACTCAAAAGGACACAGTTATCAAAACCACATACATACACACACACACATATAGCTAAACGGAATAGAAAATTAGCTACACTAAATGCTTGGGATTCATTAACCACTACATTGAGCTCTGTGCATCCTACAAACGTTAAAAAAAGAAAAAGAAACTAAGAAAATAGCTTTGCAAGCCTTTCACTGATTCAGTTACTATGCGAACTAAATTGATAATGTGGATCAAATAAGCTGAGAAATGTAAAATATTTCATTGATTAAGCATAGAAAAATATCGTAGGATAGATCCTACAACATATTAGATGATTTATATAGATCCAAGGCTATATATATTACATGTATCAATATTTAAGCCATTCTACCCACTTTATGACAAAAAAAGTGAAAGTTCTGAGAGATGAAATGACAGATTCTGTGCATAGTCAGTGGCTGGGCTAGCTTCCAACTCAGCCCGGTCCAACTCTAAAAATCTGTGCTCCTTCCATAAGCTAATAGTTGCCTTTGCCACATAAGGAAGCATATAATTAAATTGACATAAGAAAAAATAGAATGTACACATACTTCTCTATTTTTATTAAAAGAAAAATAAGTTGGGATCTTAATTAGTTCTAAGTCAGCAGGCCTAAAACTTTCCTTACTATTTCAGGTAGTAAGGATCAGATCTGAAGGCTAAATCCTAGAAAAGGAGGATTTTCATTTTCACGAAAGGACTCGCGACGATGAGGGGAGAGAATGCGCAGCTCCACGCTCCATCCATGGGTCGTTACCGGCTCCGTGCCACGTGCTGATAGCACTGGGGCTCTAGCGTTGCTACTCTGCACACTGAGCCCCTAATTGCATGTGGTTTGCACAGACAGATGCCAAATGATCACCCTTCCCTAAAGCAGAACCCAGGCCTCGCCAGGGCAGGCATTTGATGAGCATCTGTGCGTCACCCACTCCACAGGTCCCTGGAAGCGTCTCAAGGCCTAAACTGGAGTAGCTGTATCGGAATGACAACATACACAGCCTTCATTTTGCAAAGTTCTCCCATCTGCAGACTTAGCTACCATGGCTTAGTTCAACACCACCAGGCTCCCAGCAGCACGGTTCAGTTATAAGTTACTACAGTGCATTAACTGTTAGAACGAAAGGCAAACTCTGCCACCATGCTTTATGTCCACAGGCCACTACATAAGTGATGAGATCCACCCTGTGACCAGAGACCAACCAGGTCACTTCTTGCAAAGCCTGCTATGCTCAGTGACTGTACATCTGCCACAGTCAGTGCGCAGCCGCCAAATATGCAGTTGTGTGGTCTTCTCTCCAGCAGTGAATTCACAGGACATTTTATAAAAATGGATGATAAAAAGAGAGAACCAGCCAACATAGAGCCAAGCACAACAAAGAAACAGTAACAGCTCTAAAATTCAGATCTAGTATAAACAGAGCACAACAGCAGAGCATAGGAATGCCCACCCTGGGCTATGTGAGGGACAAGATCCAGCCAGCGTTCTGTTGTGAGTTCTTTGTGTAGTCTAAGTTCTAGTCCTCTGAAGACCAGCTGGCAGAATATCTTCCCATTCTGTAGATTGTCTCTTCATTCTGTTGATGCTTCTTGTGTTGTGCAGCAGCCTTTTAATTTGATGCGATCCCATTTGTTGATTCTTGGTGCCATTTCCTGCGCACTGACTGTGGCTTTTACACTGAGGTGCTTCTCTAATCCTTTAATTTCTTTTTAATTTTTTTAAATTTTGAGCCAGGGCCTCACCAAATCACAGAGGTTGGGCTCAAACTTACAATCTGACTTTCTCCTTCCAGAGTGCTGGGACTACAAGTGATTGGCACCATGCCTAACTTAGAATGACACTTAGAACAAACAACACGGCTTAGGATGTAGCTCAGTGGTGGGACACTTGCCTAGTATGTGTTTGGGTACAAAGCCCTGAGCTAAATCCTCAGTACCACAAAAACAAACCAAAAAGCTGAAAGATTCTGTGCCCCTTAGTGATTCTTAGTTAATTCATCCAACACAGGTCCTTGGCACCAATGCTTTAAAAATATTCCTCCTTCATTCTTATGTGCAGCCAAGCTTGAGACTTACTGATTTAGGCTGTACGCCTCAGAGAAATCCTGCTTCTCTGACAGGATTTCATGTACAGTCACATAAGCACTACACTAGGGTCTGAACAGATGGGCCAGAAGAGACAGAGATGGAGCAACGGAAGGATAAAGGTGAGCTCTCCCTGTGGCATGGCTGAGCGGCAGGGCACGGGGTGCTATGAGAGCTAAGGGGAGGCGAGAAAGACCGCAGGCTGAGAACGGCGCTGTTGGCACCGGGAAGAAGCACCGCAGGCCCTTCCCCTGCGCACCGCCCCACCATCACTGCTTTCCCAGGTGAGCAGTATCAAGACCACAGGCCTCCAGCTCCTTCATACGCTGAGCCTCTGCCTATTTCTCCTGCCACAGATGAAAGCGCAGTTAGAGCCTCCCTCCGACAGCCCCACAGGAAAGCTCTGCGTCTGTTCTCTTACCTGTGGTTTCCTCGGCCTGATTGAAGCCACAGATCTGGCAGATGCTCTGGACCCACTTGTTCATGTCCTCTTCTGTCTCAGCCACCAGGTAAAAGGTTCGCTCGCTGGTCTTAATATCAAACACAAAGCTGTCCTGAAGCTCCTTCTTGTTGAAGGTCAGGCCTGCATCCACCTGCTCACAGAAGTTCAGGTTGATGATGCGCAGGGGCTTTTTGGAGTGATCATTCTTGTAGTACTCCAGCACGTCTGGGTCACCGCTCATCCGGCCACTCCGAAGGATAAACCAGCGTTTCTTCCAGGCCTAAACACACCGGGAAGAAGGAGATGGGAAAGATGCTGTCAGCTACTTCAAAGCTTTTACCATGTCCTTAGACACCACAGACCTCAGGCTACTTATAACATATGTCCTCCTTTCAAATTTCCCCGAGTTTCAAAAATAGAGTATGATTTTAGAATTTAAGTTAGTGTAGCATTTCACTGTGGAGCCAAGGTCGTACCGCTATGAAAGAAAACGCATCATTCCTACTTTTTAAATCAGGAGATAAGATGAGGCCACTTCAGAGCAACTATTCCTTTCAGGCTAGAATACAGATCCAAACTCAGTACTTTTAGGCAGCGTAAAACTTACAAAACCATGATACATGTATTTGATTATAGATGGGGACCCTCAAAAAAAGAATGGTGAGTTAAAGCAACAGTGCCACATAGTAAGTAACAGAAAAGTAAGTCTCCTAACTTCCTAGAATGTGCTTTTTACCAATCATGAAGTTTTAGAAGAATCACAAAGAAAAATTCTTTTAACATCCAAAGCATATAACTTCGGATTTTCTTTCTTGTTTACCACTATATGTATCCCTAGGACTTATAACTGTGTCTTGCCCATATTAAGCACGTGGCATGTATCACTTAGTGGCCTCCCTAACCCGTCCCACACTATTGAATCTGAAACTTGGTTGCATGTTACTTTATGCTGTCCTCTACCTCTCATTTTATCAACAACAGCGTGCAGAGACCACGCCAAGTGATGAGAAGATTACGCGTAATCTGGGACTTGGGGCTGAGTCTATGCCTTGACACCGGCTTGATGCATGCCTTTCAGGCAAGTTTTGCTTCAACTACATATAGAAAATCCCCACCGCCACACCACCTACCCGCCTACCTCTTGGGGTTTTAATTATGGAAATATATCTAAACACTTAAGCACCTAAAATAGCACATTTGTGGATAATTTGTACATGCCTCCTGGAATGTAAACTTTGTCACTGCATGGACTCTTCATTGTTTATTCCATGCTATGTAGTGTCTAGGATTGTGCCTGGCATATGGCTGATCAATAAACATACCTATTAATGTGTATTAATTACAAGAAGTCCTTACAGCACATGGTAGGCAAGAGGGACCAGAACTGGTGCCTGATAAGGCTCCGACTGAAATGAAAACTGAGGTATAATCACACAGAATAGACTGGAGGAAAATAAAAACAAGTACTCTTTATTTACAGTCCCCTGAACCCCTGCTCAGGTCACTAGTGTGAGAAGTCCACACGTGCTTTTGTATGGACACCCTGCAGATGCATGCAGACACAGGGGTGGGTGCATTTAAAGAAGGGAGGGCTGGCGGTTCATCTGGTGTTTCATTCCAGTATCCCCCTTGTCTCTGTGGAAGAAGCCATCCCGAAATCACTAACAAAACACACACAGATACGCTCAAAAAGAAGGCAATGATGTTTGTGACAGGTAACTTCTGAGCCTGTCAGATTCTGCTTCCAAGGAAGTGGTGCAAACAGATAAATGGCTGCCTACAAAACACTGGTAAGTGTATGACAGAGAAGCCAAGGCTATCTAATTGGGTCCCAAATTCACTATCCTCTTGCCACAACTCCCTGCCAATTTCACACATTTTTAAAAAAATACAGACCATTCAGAATCGTGTGAACAACCCCAAAGTTGTTTACATCACCTGAATGCCCCTTGCTTCCCTGACCCCTTCATATAAAACGGGGCTCCACTCCCTCCATACTTTCATGATGTTTTAATGTACTTTTCACTGTGTGCTGTTTCGTAACGCTTGTAGGTATTCCTGTACTTGGCTCTGAGTAGATGCACAGTGAAGATGTGTACCACTGCGCCTGTCTTACCTCGCTGCTCTTGCTCATGTTTTCTTCCACCTTTCCTTTCTTCTCTATTTCCTTGCCTCCTTACATCTACTCAACCAACAAATACTGATTCAGTGGTTATTACAGTCTGGAGCAGCGGTGCTAAACCTACAGCATGTGTGCACAGCAGGCTGTTATCATAGAAAGCTCTAAAAGGGTCACTAAAAAAACCAAAAAAAAAAAAAAAAAAAAAAAAACAAAACAAACCTCCTGATTAGGGCCAGGGAGATGGCCAGAAGCGCCTGCTTTGGCAAGCACAGGGAGTAGGGTTCGATCCCTGGTCCCGCATGCCATGCTGGTCCCGGTCCCACCTCTAGGCACACTGAGCCGGTGACCAAGTCCAGGCGTGGTGTTGCACGTCTATAATCCCAGCATTGGGGAGGCTAAAAAAAAGGAGGATCACTACGAGGCCGAGTTGTGTAGTGAGACCCTGTACCAAATACATAAAATGGGGTGGGGGGAAGTTCACTATCACTGCTCTAGAGACTGTTCTAGAGTTTGTGGGGCTTTTTTGGTACCGGAATTGATCTCACAACCTTGTGCTTGCCAGGAAGGTACTGTGCTGCTGAGCTAGCTATATCCTCAGCCCTAGAGACTATTCTAGATGGATGTAATATGAATTCTTCATAGAACTTACAGATACAAAACACATTACTATTCCTTACTATTCTCCAAATGTATTAATTTTATGACTACATGTCTGCACAACCCATGGATTCTTCCTAGAGTGTCTTTCACCCTACCTAACCTGTCTGGAGAACTGTTATGCCCCTCTGTTCCAGCTCAAATGTCACTCTGGAAGGCCTTCACTCACTCCCCCGGCTGGGCGCTCCTTCTGTGTTCCTGTAATAACCTACACGTTCCCTGCTCGGGCATTGCTTTCCCTAAACTTGGCATTTCAGCTGTTTGTGTTTCTCTCCCCCTTAAGCCTTAGCACCTCAAGGTCTGGGTCCTGTGTGGCCAACAGCTCTTGGTGATGTGCTTAATGAACATCTGGAACTCAGTGAATATCTGCTGGGACTTTTTAATTCAATGAATATGTCAATTTATTTAAATTAGTAACTGTATTTTAAAAAATACAACTGATCTTTCATAGTAGGAGGTATGAAATGAGGATATAAAGAAAACTACAGAAGCAAAATAAGGGTTGGAATTGAATTCTCTAGGATGTGTGTTCTCCAGCATCTGTTCTTTTCATTCTGGTAAGTAGACTATGTAATAAATATTTATAAAGGGTCTGAAAACTTTAGTTGAAAAGTGCCCCATGACTCAGAAATAAAGAATCACTTTTGGATAAGTGACATGTAACGCAACCAGCTCTCACTTTGTGGTTCAGGCTGAATTTGCACTCACTGTATACTCCAGGCTGGCCTCAAGCTTATGGCAATTCTCCTGCCTCATCCTCCCAAGTGCTGGGATCATAGATGTAGGCAACCAGGACACATCAATATACTATTAAAGACAAAGTTTTTCATGTCCACTCTCCTTTGGCTACAAAAATCTCATGCAAAATAAATCAAGGATTTAAATATAAAACACAAATGGAATTCAGCAACCTATAAAACTATGTAACCAAGTGAAATTTAGTCCAAAGAGGTTAAGGGTAATTCAGATTTGCAATCAATCAATCAATCAATCAATCAATCAGTATAAAGAGGGGAGCTTTTTTATCCTGATAAAGAATATCAACAGAAAGACGAGTGTTTTCTGGTAGCTTAGCTTTGAAAGAATAAATGCTAGTCCCTAAGATCAGGACTAAGGTGAGGACATCCTCACCTACCACTCTTATCCAACACAGTGCCAGAAGTTCTAGTCGAGCAATAAAACAGGAAACACATAAAAGGCATACAGATGAAAGGAAGAAAAAGATGCCCTGCATTTTCAGAAAATTCTAAGTTATCTACAACAAACAATCACACACACACACACACACACACACACACTCCCTTCTGGAGACTCCAAGGTCTCAGGGTACAATACAAAAATACAAAAATCAATTTACAAAAAAAAAAAAATCAATTTACTTTTTTTTGTGTATGGTACTGGGGATTGAATTCAGGACCTTGCACTTGCCAGGCAGGTGCTTATGCCACTGAACTATCACTCTAGCCCTCGATTTACTTTAACGTGCTAGCAAGGAACATGTGGACATAGAAAATAAAAGCCTGCTGCGTCTGAGGATCTGGCTCAGTGGCAGAAGACCTGCCTAGGATGCTCCCCAGCTTCACAAAAGAAACAAACAAATATGCATTTTTAAAATGAAAAAAGCATATTTTAATAAAATATATGCAGAGCATGTGTGCCAAAACCATATAACACTGATGAAAGAAATCAAAGAAGATCTAAACAAACATAGCATGTTCATGGACTAGGAGATTCAAAATGGCCGTCATTTTTATAGCTGTGGGCAGAACTGTATTCTAAAATGTGTATGGAAAAAAAGAGACAATACAATAGCTAGGGCAATTCTGCATACTAAAATGAGAAGAATTAACATACCACATTTAAAGCTTGTTACATAGTACAATGCTGGGATTAAGAGTGCTGGCAGTAGGGTGGGTGACTGCTGGATCAGCCCACTGACTGGATTGGCAGCTCCCTAATCCTGCTATACGGATAGGATATAGGGGACAGAAAAAGGCCTGCCTCACTCTCCTTGGTTGCCTTAGTTGTCTTCTGCCACCAGGATCTGCTGTCCCTCTGCCACGTGCCACCCCACCTGGAACCAGCCAGGTATGGACTGAAATATCTACAAACTGTGAAAAATAAACCTTTTCCCCCTAAACTTTAGGTGTTGGTTATTCTGTCTCAGCAATGAGAAAAGTAACTAAGACACAGAGGAAGACAGAAATGAATGATTATGAACAATGAAGAATGTAGAGTTTCATAAGTAAGTTTTCAAAAGAAATTAATTTCTTTTAAAAATTAATTTAAAAAGTAATTAATTAAAAACTAATTTAAATTAATTATTATTTTTTTCTTTTTGAGACAGGTTCTTGTTATGCAGTTCAGGCTGCTCACTTTATAGCCCAGGCTGGTCTTGAACTTGCAACGATCCTCCTGCCTCAGCCTCCTGGGTGCTTGGATTATAGAAAAAAAATTTTTTTTAAAGTGTGCAAACAGTGACCATAGTCTGGGCATACAAA